TTTCTGAAGAAGGGTCCAGACCCGAAACGTAAGCTTTCCTGCTCCTCTGATGCTGCTTGGCCTGCTGTGTTCATCCAGCTCTACACCTTGTTATCTCATACTTTCCTATCTATCTTTGTATCATTTGCAAATTTAGCTATCATTGCCTTTGCTCCCCTCATCTAAGTCATTAATTAATAATGCTGAGGCCCTGGCACAGATCCCTGAGATCTGTCAATTAGAAAAAAAATCCATTTGTTTGTACTCTCTGTTTTCTGGCCAGCCAACTAATCTTCTATTGATTCTAATATGTTATAGGCTCACCCTTTCCACAGCACATGTTAATCCTTGAAAAACTTCCAACAAATTAGTTAAGCATAATTTCCCTTTCACAAAACTATGCTGAATATTCCTAATTACCTTGAAGCCTGTTTGGGTGGGATGCTCTTCAGAGAGTCAGTGCAGACTTGATGGGCTGAATGGCCTCTTTCCGCACTGTAGGGATTCTATGATTCTTCTGAAGTTCCCAACTATAACTTCCTTGGAGATTGATTCTAACCTTCCCCACAATAGACATCAACCTAACTGGTCTATACTTTCCTGTTTTCTGCGTCTCGCTTCTTGAATTGAGGGATTATATTTGATACTTCAAATTCTGATGAAGCCTTTCCAGAACTGAAGAAAATCTGGCAAATTAACAGCAACGCCTCGACTACCTCATTAGCCACTCTTTTAAGAACCTAAATTGAAATCAACAGGACCGGGGACTTGTAATCGCACAGCTCCATAAACTTGCCCCGTATTCCTTCCCTAGTGACTGTAATTTTCATAAGTTCTTTCTCCTTTCCACCACCTTATGTACAGCCATTACTGGAATTTTATTTTGTATCTTGTATCGTGAAGACAAGTGAAATATTTGTTCATTTCATCTGCTATTTTCTTATTATTTACCAATAACTCTCCATTATTATACTCTAGACGACTCTGTATTTAACATTTTTCCGGTGCTGCAATTTAAGCCGCAGAGAGTTGGAGCTCCTCTGCTCACCAGTCCCTTTCCCTTTTCTTTCTTTTTTTCTTCTCTTCATAGCTTTTATTTCTTCCCTCTGCCCCCTTCTGCTCTACCTGGAGACTGGAGTTGAGGACTGAGCACGGGCCTAGCCTCGCCGCAGAGTGATTGTGAGCCAGATCCCACGGCAGAGTGAGCGTGGGCTGACTCCCGCGGCGGAGTCCTGCGGTGAGCGGAGCGAAGCTGATCCCTCAGCACAGCGAGCAGCGAACGGGCCGATTCCCAGATGGTGGAGCGAGTCCTGGTTGGAGGCTAGCACCTGGAGGCAGTATGGCCTCGTGCTCTGGGGCCGGCGGGCATGGACTGAAACTCAGCACTTATTGTCACCTGTTATCATTCTGGACTTTTTCAACCGTTCCCATGCTAATCCGCATTTTTTAGACTCTGTAACGACACTTGCTTTTTTACTCTGTAACTGCAGTTAAAAGTATCTGTACCTAGGATAGCACCGAAAGGCAATATTACAAACTTTCCACGGCACTCATTCGAGTGCATGTGACAATAAAGACTATTCTATTCTATTTGCCTCATTAAATTCGCCTAGAAATTCTTCCTATCCTATTCTTACATTTCTAGCTAATTTCTTCTCATACTGGAATTTCTTTCCCTCAACTAACCTTTCAGTTTTTCTCTGCCATTCTTCATAATCTGACTGACTATAACAATTCTGTGTTTTTACATAAACTTTGCTTTCCTTAACTTCATTAGTGAACTTCAGACCTCAGCACAGACTCACCTGGACATCCATGTGCTATTAAATTGAAAACGCTCATCATCAAATTACGATGCAGAGTCGTGACTGCCATTTGAGTTTTCCTACTGGTCTCTTCTAGACCAAAGTGCTTCGTGATCCTGGTAGCTCACCCTTATGCTCTGTGATGGTGGGTTTGTTATTAATGCAGCGAGCATCCACTGTGTTTTGCATCACTACCAACTGGATTGGAGACTGGATGGGTTGATCCATCTCAGGACCATATTCCTCACTGGGATCTTTACCTCTGCAGTCATACAAGACGCATGAAATAAGGAAAAGCAATAAGAGAATCACATAACTAGCCACAAGTATAATCAGGTTCAAAGTTACAGGGTCTATCTCCAGATAAAACTCCATTTATTCCTCTGTGTTTCAATGCTCCATACTAGAACATCATTACCACAAAGTCTGAGAAGTCATTGCAGTTTCAGAAGCTAAAGTGAGCAGGCTGGTCTTATGATAAAAATATCATTAATCTTTTACTCAAAGCTTGAACAGAAGGATTTAAAACTACTCAGTTTAATCACTTAAACCCTTTCAATCTAGGATACCATCAACAAACAGAAATCTGATTGATGTGTGCTGAAAATCAGAAAACATTAGGATAGATGAATCTCAAATATTCATAGCGTAATCCAGTGAGAACACATTCACCATCATTCAGGAGATTGTGGGCATTTGTTTGACGGTGTCTTAAAGGATAGTAAAATAAAGTCACCATTGTCCTACTGGACCATAGGGCTGCTCTCTCATTAGAGAGGGATGATTGGTGGTGGTTTAACTTAATGGTCACCACATTTCAGGCGATGGGAGAGGTTGAAAAGGAGAGTCTGTTGCTGTAACTCCAGCTCGTGTGGGAATACGATTGGCATCACTGTGCCTCATAAAACAGCTGTACAGTCAAGTGAGCCAAACAATTGACTTAGGGAATATGTTATTGCTGAACAAATGAGAGGTGCAAGTTCTCTGATCATCTACCTGCTTGCAGCTTGTGTCGGAATGTTAGGTCTTCATTATTACTGTGATAAGTACGAGTGGTAGAAAAGGATGAACAAGACACAGTTAAGTGAGTTTGATAGTCTTGTTCAGACATTCTTCGATAAATCTTGGTGCAATAATTCTCATAGTGAGCCTGAACAGTGAGTTTTGATTGCCTCAGGTAGCCATTGGGAAACCTCAGTTGATTACTGGTCAAGATTGTAAATCAATTTTGTCCTACACCTATATTCAGAACTCAGACAACATGTTAATGACATCCGTAGGAATGGCATATGCTTCCAAACTAATCTGTGATTAGTTTCCGGAGGAGTACCCTTGCACCACTGCACAGGACCTGAACAACAATGTTCTATTTCCATTCAATCACAGTGACAGCATGTAGGGATAGAAATAACTGCAGATTCTGGAGTCAGAGATAACAAGGTATGGAGTTGGAGGAACACAGCAGGCCAGGCAGCATCAGAGGAGTAGGAAAGCTGACATTTCAGATCGGGACCCTTCTTCATAAATGGGAAGGGGGAAGGGAGCTGGGAAATAAATAGAGAGAGGAGGGATGAGGCTGGGGAAGGTAGGTGGGATGGTGATGGTGATAGGTGAGTGTAGGTTTGGACTGTATGTGTCAAACAATAACACCTTCCAGTCATCAATTATTGTAACTCCCTCTCCCACTCCCTGGATGACATGTCCATCCTGGACTTTCTCCAGTGTCACCATGACACCATGTGCAAACTGGAGGCGTATCACCTCACATTCTGCCGCAGGAGCCTACAGCCTGATGGCATAGACATGGAATTCACCAGTTTTAAAATCTCCCCTCCCCCGGCCTTGTCCCATGTCCAAGCATCCCTCTCATTCCTGCCTCCTTGACCTGATACAACCTGTCCATCTTTTCTCCCACCTATCCGCCCCTCCCATCCCACTGACCAATCCCCACCACCCCCTACCTGTCAAAATGAGGATGTTGGCAAGACGTTATGTCCCATGGCCAGGATTGTATATAGACATAGCCACGTAGGTGTGGCAATGCCCAGTGTGCCAACAAGGACAAAAATTAATGCCAACAGCTCCCCCATTTTCATAAGAATGGCTGAGTAAACCCTGGACTTGGTTACATGTTGACTATTTTGACCCTATCATGGGCTCAAAGTTCTTATGTAGATTTGATTTTGATTTTGATTTTATTGTCACATGTATGGAAATACAGTCAAAAGCTTTGTTTACGAGCAGTATAGGCAGATCACAGCAAGCAAAGGATGTACAGATCAAAAAGACTTGGAAGCATACAAGTTACATTGCAGGTTACATTATTTGAGGTTAGAGTCCATTCAGCAGTCTATTTAGACATTGTGGATGCCTATTGAAAGTGCATAGAGTTCATTAGTCAAACATGGGGATGACGATAGAAAAACTACACACATCTTTTGCAAAACATGGACTCCCGGAAGTGTTGGTCACAGATAACAGGCCATCGTTTGCCAGCAGGGAGTTTGGGCATCTCCTAATGTCGAATAGTATTCATCATATGAGGATAGTACCATCATCCTATGGCCTGGCAGAAAGAGAAGTCCAAACTTTGAAGACAGGCTTAGCAAAACATTCTACAACTTCACTCGATACCAGACTGTCCCAATTCCTATTTGATCACAGGACCACCCCTCATGCTACCACAGGGATAGCTCCAGCAGAGAATAATGGTGAGAATACTCCATACCAGGTTAAATCTGATTTTCCCAGACCTGAGTGGGGAGGGTGAAACTGCATCAGAAACACCAATGCCAGACACAAGACTCCGCTAAGCAAGAGAGACAGTTTACTTCAGGGGACGAAGTTTGGTGTAGGAACCACAAAAATGGCTTTGCTTGGGTAAGAGGCATGGTTGACGCAAGGTCAGGTCCAGTGACATACTAAAATTTAGGTAGGTGCGACACATCTGAACAAGCACTTGGACCATATGAAAGCTGCAAGCTCGCAAATGGTGCAGGAGCAAAACGTGCTTGGCTCCTTTTCTGCCTTTCTGACCATTCCGGAACTTGTGGTTCTCCCTGTCCATCAAACGTTGAAGATATTTCGGAATCTGAGATGGAAATAGCAGATGCCTCAATGCCTTTGCCACCTGAAGAGAAGAATGAATTTCTTCTGAGATGCTCCAGGCACAAGAGCTAAGCTAGACAAACAGGAGACTCGAAGAACACGGCAGACTAGGCAGCTTCTGGAGGAAAGGAGCAGTCAACGTTTCGGGTATAACCCTTCAACCTACTCTATGTTACTCACCACCCATATCAGAGGGAGAGTTGGAGGAACCTGATCCCGTCTTGAAATGCTCCAAGAGATGCTACAAAAAATAGAACCGGCTTATGCCGTCAGACTCAGAGGGAAGGAATTTAATGAATGTAATGAGGTCAGCCAGGTGGACCTCATAGAATATGAGTTCTCTAATTGGGGCTGTAATCTAGTTGAATCAGTGAGCCTAGGCTGACAGATATAAACAGGAGAGTCGGGGGTTCTGAAAACAAAAATTGCTGGAGATCACAGCAGGTCAAGCAGCACCCATGGAGAGAAAGCAAGCCAGCGTTTCGAGTCTAGATGATTCTTCATTAGAGCTTTCTCTCCATGGAAGCTGCCTGACCCGCTGTGACCTCCAGCATTTTTTGTTTTCAGTTCATATTCCAGCATCTGCAGTAATTTGCTTCTACATTGTGTTAGGGGTTCTGTTCACTCTTAAGAGCTGGCTCTGAGGAAGCTGGATCAGTGTTATGGACTCTCTCACTAAATTTGGTGATGGGGTACTGGCCTCTGTGGAGTTATTTCAGCAGCAATTAACTTAAGTAAAGATACAGTTAGTAAACTAGAACATTATGGCATGAATAAGAGATATTTTGAGTGACTTATGTCTTTGCAGCATGAATCACAAAACAGCGGCTAATCCATATCAACAGCTTGATGTTGCAATTGCCTGTTTCTCCTCCAATGACAGTATGACAGAGAGAACATAATCGTACATAACTCATCCTGTTACCTTGAATAGTCTTGGCACAAAGGTGAATAACATGATCTACAGTTAAAATGGAATTAATTACCAGTGAGGAAAAAGGCATGGATGGTACGTTAGAACTAAATTATCCACTTTACTCAATTGATATCAGCCCTTTAACATATGCATGCAAAATGGAGTGTGCCTTTTACTGGACTAAGAAAATATTTACCCCTCAGTTATCTTTCCTCATCTTTTGAAGTGACTGACTGTTGCTTGTTTAAAGGTTTATTAGTACTGACCACTATCTGAACCAAATGATCATCTTTAGGGTTCTAGCATAGATAGAGCATTCCGGTAAGATAGAGTCTGGGTATCATAGCTGAACCTGATCATGAATCTAACCTGACATTCACTCACAAATGAGTAGGAATAGTAGTTTGTTCAGGAGTAGTAATCCTCACACATTTGTCCATTCCCACAGTGGTTGGACTCTGAGTCCATTTACAGCATCCTAAGCACACACACTGTAATGAGATAGAGATGGATTTTGGATCTGTGCTTTCATATTATATTGTGTGGGGCATTTTTCCACTGAACCATGAGGGAAAAGCTATGAAGGACATTCCTGATTTCCAAAAATGACCTTAGCAAGTTTAATACAATGGGCAATTGGCCAGGGAGGAAGTTCACGGGAATGATTAGCATGGAAGGCAGGATATGGGAGAGTGCAGGAAATGCAGAGCCAGATTGAAGCTCTCAGTGACGTAATGGGTGGAAACTACTTCCGTCCTGTGACGGTTAAGCCCTAGGTTAAAGGAGTGGGTCCTTCAACATGTGACACACGCACTCACACTCGCACACAGTAGTTGCCATATCAGAGGTCAAGCAATGACCAGCAACATTGCTTCCAACTTTTTAAAGATCTGCAGCTCACACAAATTTAGGTTTAGGTTCTCTCCAGGTCACACTCTGCTGCCTTGGTAAAAGGACACATAATTGACTTATTCAAGAGCACAACCTACATGTCATTTGATTTCAAACAGCAAGTCAGCGTTTCCACCTCAGGACTGTTCTCATCTGCTGCTCTATCCTGGCCTTCATTCAGCATGAGCTGGCTAAAATCATGACCATTGTCCTGAATAAGATGGTGGAAGCCCCTTCAGTGCAAGAACTAGAGAGGCTCTAAAAGAAGGTCCACCACTGCCATCTCAGATAAATGTGGGAAGGAATGATAACCTTGCCAGTATCACTCATATCCTGCTAACAAATCAAAAAAAAGGTTGTTGTTTGGTTTGATCATTGTCAGCATACTGTATGGGGCTTGTGTCTGTCATAGAGTCATACGGCATGGAAAAATGAATCTTCCTGGTAATGAGTTTCTCAA